CCCATAATCCCTTGCGGGGTGGAGTCTGGGCAACTGAATGGAGCTGAGTGTTTACTGGCCGGATGCCCTTCCTGTCGCCAATGCAGAGTTATATTCAGCAGATAAATTCTCATCGTGCCCAGAGAGAGAAATATCTGCCTCTACCTAGGATCGAACTCACAGCCTCCTGATTGTGAAGCGAGAGCTTCACCTCTAGGCCTCCGCACCACTCTATAAGATGGTGTGATGGTTCCTTTGAATTCTGTGATTCTGAAAGCATCATGTTTCTTCTATTGTGTATCTGTTCCGTGAGGTTTATCGTTCATCTCCCTTCCTCCGAACTATAATCTGTATATTTGGGTTCCCCTTTCTTTGATTCCATCCGCTTTGCTTTACTTTTTAAGAGAACGATTTCTCTATAAAGCACAGTTAGCAGGGAATTACACAGTCATTTTAGTATAACCTCAGATTTGTAGGGCAGTGGAGAAAAACAAGCATTGATTTAAATGCATCCAGGTTTTTGTAAAGGAATCAGGCCCTGCCATGCCTTAGACACGGGAAACCTTGCGATTTCAATTGAATGGAGTTGCGAGATTTTTAAAAAATGGAGCATTTATTTGTTTTGCCAATCTTATCTTTCATTCCTTTGAATGTAGCCCAGTCTGTTGTCTTGTCAGTTCTCCGTAACAACATATAGGTATTCTCCGTTTAATGGCCACTCATTTAGCAACTGTTGGAAGTTACAATGGTGCTGAAAAAGCGACTTATCATTGTCCTCTCAATAATGAACATTACAGTATCTTTGTAGTCACATGATTGTGATCTGAATACTCAGCAACAAGCTGGATTTTCAACCGTCATGTGATCATCATTTGCAACCTTTCCAGCCAGCTTGCAACAAGCAAAGTCAATGGGGAAGCCGGAAGGAATTTGCAAGTTAGGATCACATGATATTTTGCTTTACAAGCCATCCGCTTAATGACGGCGGCAAAAGTTGTAAAATCAGGTGCAGTCTCATTTACCGTATTTTTCGGAGTATGAGATGCACCGGACTATACGACGCACCTACCTTTTTTGGTGAGGAAAACAAGAAAAAGAAATCTGCCTCTGCCTCCCAGCAATTTACCTCTTTGCAGCAAGCAGCAGAGGCCCACGTAGCAATAGGCAATGGCAATCCCTGCAGCCTGAAACAGCTGAGAATCGGGAGGCCGAATCAAAGGACAATCAACTTGTGCTAATTAGGCTGTGCTGAAGCTGAAATGGGGCTGTTTCTTCTTGCTGCTTGCTGCAAGAAGATAAATTGCTGGGAGGCAGAGGCCAAAGGATGGGCACCAGTGGGTGAGCGGGGCTACATTCGGTATATAAGACACACCCAAATTTTCACCCCTTTTAAGGGGGAAAAAGGTGCGGCTTATATTCCGAAAAATATGGTAATCACTGCACTGCTTAATGACAAATTCTCCAGTCCCTATGTGATCATAAGTCAAGGACTACCTGTATATCTTTTGGACAGGCTACCAAGTTGCACTTTGACGTGAAAGTAGCAATTGCCAAATCGGGAGTTCCTGTCATTTTAAAGGCACAGTGTAAAATTGCTCAAGTTACTACTGCCAAAGATTATCAGAGTAACTTACTTCTAGTGTTATTTGATAGCACGGAAGAACATATCCTCTCTCACTTCAAAATATAGCCAAGAATCGGAGCCTTCAAACTTAGAAGCTGCTGCCTATCATTTCTTGGAAAGTTATATGAGGCACTGAGCTAAAAATAAACAGATAAGGGCAGCGCCTGTGAAGTATAGCATCAGTAATATTCATGCTAGCTATTTTTTGTTTTTTTTAGGAAGTTGCTCCTGAGTAATTGGAAACAGTTTAACTAAAGCCTGGATGGCAAAGTATGACACCCTTTTCTTATCAAATCTTCTTTCCCCTTTGGATGAAATGTTCGCAAAGGGCATCTTGCCCAATCAGAATTATTGCGTGTGATGAAAATGTTTCATGAGCCAAAGAGGACACCACCCATTGTGCAAGAGTTTTCAGGCAGAAAAGAAAAAGGATCACTCACATGGTTAATTATATGGGAGATTAAAAGGGGGCAAAAAGCTTGCAACACAGTTTTTGTTTAAAGCAGCTTTCAACAACCAAAGTCTATTTACTCAATGGCATAACTCGCTTGATTTAAATTGGATTTGAGTATTTAGAATAGCAGCCGCTATGCGCTTATTAATAGCAGGAAGCGGAATTAAAAAAGATTTCTCTTAATAGGCTAGAAAATGTCCAAGAGAAAAGTACAAAGAACAGGCAACCTCAGAGGTTTTTCAGCCAAATTTCCACCAGCAGGAAGGACAATTTAATTGCAGCACCAGCAAACATAGATATGAGATGATTTTAGGTGGCAGGGATGCTATTAGCCCTAATGCTGAACTGATGATGAATCTATTTCGGTTCTGTCATTGTCTGTAGTTGATATTGTTAACAAAACGCCACCATGAAACAGACTTTTATTCTTTTATGAATTTTTGCCATTCTTTCTTTCATCGAACTGCTTTGATTTGTTACGGTGCCTCTTTTAAAAGAAATGATACAGTATTATTTAATGCCTTCAGCCAAAATAAGTGTAGATGGTTGATTTTGAAAATAAATTGTGTATAGCAACTGCAGGTATGCAGAAGTGAAAAAATAGTGTGTTTTCTTCTCCATACTATTTTATTATTTTATTTTAATGGAAGAATTGTCTTGGATTTGCTGGCAGTAAGTCAGTGAAGGCAGGCTATCATCTGTGTCTGATACTCTTTTTGGAGTGGGCAAATTGTGTCTTCCTTTTGAGCATCAATGCATATATAACCATCCTTCCCTGCTTCAAGTCTTTTCTCTCTCCTAACATTAAATAACGTTTACAAGGCAGGTAATACTTGCCACTTGAATTGCTACTCAGCTCTTCTACTGAAATTCAGTGTAAATTCAGTGTAAATTATGACACTGACCAAGAGCTAATTAAGGAGATTGATATTATGAGCAAGGTTTTCATCAAGTGTAGGTCAAACTCAAGGCCCACGGGATGGATCTGGCCCGCAGGCCGCCCTGGAAACAGTGAAGGACCAGCCTGTGATGCCTCTGGCAACAAAAACGGGGCTTGGGAGGGCCACATGTGGTGGCCTTTTTTGCTGGCAGAGGGCTGCAAGAGGTTGTCACAGCCGCAAATGGAGCCCGGGGAGGCCGTGTGAGGTCCCCGAGCTCCATTTTCGCTGGCAGAGTGCTAGCAAAACAAACTACTAGCAAAAGTGAGTCCCCCCCCAGCCCTGTCCGGCCCACCACAGGTGCCCCCCAACACGAGTGATGTTGAGCTGGCCACGGCCACCCTTGCCATGGCCACCCGGTCCTCTGAAGTCAAACACAACCCTGATGCAGCCCTCAGTGAAATCGAGTTTGACACCCCTGATGTAGGTGAAGTCCAACTGAGCAAGATTTCAAGCTAGTTTTATTCATTAATATGGTGAAGAGATCAAAGTCTCTTAAATTTCCCAAAGAGGATTATTCAAAGGACTCTATTTCATGCTACAATATATTTGAACAGGTGGGCTGGTATCCAAAGAACCTTGGAACTGGTTGCCTCTAAAAGCATTTTTAGTAATTACTTTTGCAAGTGACAGATGTTTTAGAATTGGCTTGCAATATGTCAAGGTGGCATTCTGTTCATTGACAGAGGGGGAGAAATTTTATTGCAACAATAGATTCTACTAGCTTTTGATCTTTTGGTATCATCATGAGCAATCAAGGGGCACTCTTATCTTCTCTTGAAGTAGCCTTCACAGTGTGACTCCCACATATCTTTTTTCTACCCTGGCAACAGTTGCTGGAAATTGTGGTCATTGTCTTCTGCTGTTTTGATTTGGCAAGGCCATCATACTTTGCATTGTCACTTTGCCGCCACTGTACCTTCAACTTTCTCCATATAATACGCATGTTCTCCAGTTATCAAAACGGCACCTCCCATCTGCATGCATTTGATTCTGCTCCAAAGTCCTCTGGAACTCATCTTCCATAACTTTTTAGGGGACCATCCTAGCAGGCACATAGTCATATGAGCAGCCCTGGTGGTGCAGTGGTTAGTATGCAGTATTGCAAGGAAATTCTGCCCGCAGCCTGGAGTTCGATCCTGACTGGGCTCAAGGCTGACTCAGCCTTCTATCCTTCCAGTAAAATGAGGACCCAGGTTGTTGGGGGCAATATGCTGACTCTGTAAACCACTCAGAGAGGGCTGTAAAACACTGTGAAGCGGTATATAAATCTAAGTGCTATTGCTATTGCTTATTCTGCCGACTGCCAGCAGATTGATTCTCACCGGTTCAAGGTTGACTCTGCCTTCCATCCTTGCAAGGTCAGTAAAATCGGGACCCAGATTGTTGGGGGCAATTTGCTAACCCTGTACTTTGAAGCAGTATATAAGTCTAACTGCTATTACTCAAGAGTCCCACTTTCTGTTGTGCTCCTTGGCTTACTATACTTGCAGTTCATTTGCATTTTTAGTGATTAGAGTACATGATGTAATATTTAGTGCATGTCCTAAAATCAAATGCAATTAGGAAAATTAATCCATCACAAAGGATACACTCCACTGCACTTGAAGATCATTTGAACTCTATTAATTCTCTCTCCTTTTTAAACCAATCCAAGAACAAATCAGGTTCGGACCGGGGGTGAAATTCACTTAACTTCCCTACCGTTTTGCAAATGTGCTCATGCACAAAGCCTTCTGCTCATGCACAGAGGCTGAATTTATCGGAAAAAAAGGGATGTCATGACATCCGCGCAGGTGGGCGGAGCCTCCCACAGCCGCCGCTACCAGTTCGCTCAAGCCTGATAGAACCGGCTGAATTTCACCCCAGTTCGGACCCATCCCTCTTATTTTGTGCTCCCTCCTCAGACTGGCCTAGACGTGCCTCATTTCAGGCCATTAGAAAAGAATGGTGCTTTGATGCTTTCATCCTGCTTTATGTATTGATTGCTTTATTTGTCTTGCAGTGTCCCACCTGGCTTTGAAGGGATGAAGCAGCAGGAAATCTGTAACAAAATCATGGTCCACCTGCTGGAAAACTACAGTCTCTTGTTTGAATGGGAGCATCCAAAGAAGGAAGGAGGACACAAGGAGTCACCGAAAATTATATTGGTGAAAGTGAGTGTTGGAAAGCTGAATTGTGCTTTTGAACCGTATCCTCCACTGTGATTTACTACAATGTTTCCCCGAAAATAAGACTTCCCCAGATAATAAGCCCAATCGGGCTTTTGAACACATGCGCTAAAATACTCCCCCCCCAAAGAAAATAACCCCCCAAAATAAGTCCTCCCCGAAAATATTTAAATGCATGTGCAGCCAGTCCCCACCATTTCCTCTGGTTAGGATTAGGGAGACAGAGCTGGAAATCAGGTAAGACGGCAAGAGGAGTCCAGTCTTGCTCCATGCGCCCCAAAATAATAAGACCTCCCCGAAAATAAGGCCAAGCGCTTATTTTGGGGTTCAAAAAAATATAAGACAGGGTCTTATTTTTGGGAAAACATGGGTATAAACAAGGTCAGTTTAGTAAGTGTCAGAGTAACATGTTTGGTGTGAACTCTGACCCTGAAAAGAGATTCAGGCTTGGGGGGGCTCTTAATTTTTTTGTACTTTTTCATTGATCCAAACTGTACGTCACTCGCTTTTCTGTTGTTGTTGTTGTTTTGTTGTTGTGCGTGTTCACCTACGTGTGAGTATGTATATCTGCCTCCAGGCACCTGTTTGACAATCAGAATACAGCTCCAGGAAGCAACAATCAAAGAAATAGAAGAAAAACAGTGCAAAGGAATTATTTCGTTGATCTGGGCTAAAATTCTGAACAGGAAGTACAGTGATACTTCAGTACTCATTGTTAATTGGTTCCAGGAAGCATGACGAGTAGCAAAAACAATGAATGGCAAACAATTTTTTCCCCATAAGGAATAATGTAGTGAGTCACAAGGCAGCCGACATCGACAATAGCAATAGCAGACTTAGACTTATATACCACTTCACAGTGTTTTATAGCCCTCTCTAAGTGGTTTACAGAGCCAACATATTGTACCCCAACAATCTGGGTCCTCATTTTACTGACCTGGGAAGGATGGAAGGCTGAGTCAACCTTGAGCCCAACGAAAATTGAACTGCCAAACTGCTGGCAGTCAGCAATCAGCAGAAGTAGCCTGTAGTACTGCATTCTAACCACTGCACCATCGGGGCTCTTAGCTTAGTTCTAGCTTGTGCATTGAGTAGCAAACAATGAGTACCAGGACGAATTTTTTTGTGTCAAAATGCATTGAGCCCCAAATTTGATGAGTTTCAAAGGTGTCTGAATACCAAGGTTCCAATGTATTGCAAAAGAAAAAGGGTAGAAGCTTAACGAGAGTGCTACCCTTAAAGGAGTAGTAGAATGCCATATTACAGCTGCAATCAAGTTTTTAGATGCCAATTGTTTGGTTCTGAGTCTAATGAGAAGTTGAAAGCCAATAGGAAAATACCATGGCTACAGCTAAATAGCTCTCTTCTCTGCCTTTGCCAGTGAATTCCTTGTCAAATTCCCTTCTGTTCTCTCTCAGTTCTTCAGCCCTTTTTCTTTAGCTTCTTTAGCTCATCCTTAACTTCTGTACCTAATGATCCCCAGTCCCAGACCTTTTAAGAATGGAATCCGATGCCAGAAGATTATAACTGATAAAAGAGAATATTTGTAGCTCAGAGTTGACGTGACGGGTCCTTGGTGCTCTCTGAGATTGCTTGTTTTCTTGCAGACATGTCATTACTCAAACTAGCCCTAGCACTGATGATGTTATCTAGTTTGGTAATGAAACACCTGCAAGAAAACAAGCAAGCTCAGAGAGCACCAAAGGCATTTTGCTATCCCAGTCATTTAGGAGCTCATGTCTAATGATTCAACATTTGGATCACTAGCAGAGTTTGCAAACTTCCTGAAACCTTTCCATTTGGGCAGATTTCCCAATAATATTAAATTCTCCACTCTACTTAAACGCTAATAGGAACAGATGACTCACAATCGCCCATCAAAAGCCAACAATTATATTTTGCCCAAACAAACCTATGCAATCCATCCCTGGCTTTGCTTTTATCCTCCAAAATTGTTTTGCCTTTTTCCTTTCCCTTCTCCAATTCTAACCCATTTCTTATTAGCTCTGGCTTAACCATGTGCCCAAAATGCAGGTTTAAAACAGACTACTGACGCCAGATTATCAAAAAAATAAAATATGTGTAAACATTGATGCAATTTATTATGGTTCATGGCACAGTCAGCCAGATATTTAGACTGGATTTGGCATTTTTATCCGTCTATGGAGTCCTTCCTAAGGACTTGGAATGAGGAGATACTGTTTGATAGTGTTAATTAAACATATCATCGCAAGATGTAAACTGTTCCAAGTAAAGTTGTTGTGATCGTTACTTAGCGCTTAACATTTGTGCTGTTCAGTTGTGTACGAAGCAGTGTCTTTTATCTTTACGAGTGCTGGTTAATCTGAGATTCTGACCATTGTTTAAGTTGAATAGGAAGCAGCCTTGGAAAATAAGATACATCCTTGACTGGTGTTACTCCAAACGAAAACCAGCAGCCATGTAAATGGAGTTGTTTTGGGGCCTTTTAGCATTTGCGATAATAATGTGAAACAATTTGCTTCTGGCTATCATCCATGCAGCAAACTATCTTGGAGACTGTTTTGTAAACCAAGAGACAAATACACATAAATACATGCGAGAAAGGCATCACTTGAAAATTGTTGTGTTTTTTAATTTTTGCCTCTCTTTAAGCTTTTGTTGTTCTCGTTACTGATTAAATTGATGGGGAAATAAAAGCCTGGTGAGAGGGAGAGGAATGTGTTTGGAAGGAGAATAGACGATCAGGGAGAATGAATCTTTATTTGCTTGCCTATTTGGTGTTGTTAGTTGCAAAGTCGTGTCCGACCCATCGTGACCCCATGGACAATGTTCCTCCAGGCCTTCCTGTCCTCTACCATCCTCTGGAGTCTATTTAAGCTCATGCCTACTGCTTCAGTGACTCCATCCAGCCACCTCGTTCTCTGTCGTCCCATTCTTCTTTTGCCCTCAATCTTTCCCAGCATTAGGCTCTTCTCCAGTGAGTCCTTCCTTCTCATTAGGTGGCCAAAGTATTTGAGTTTCATCTTCAGGATCTGGCCTTCTAAAGAACAGTCAGGATTGATCTCCTCTAGGACTGACTGGTTTGATCGTCTTGTAGTCCAAGGGACTCGCAGGAGTCTTCTCCAGCACCAGCTTATTTGGTAAGATCGTTTAATTTTTGATTGGTGACACCATAGCCATGGAACTCAAGAAAGACCATGAAAACAACCATATTAAAGTCGTACATTCTTACTTGATTCTTAAATAAGCAGAACCTTGGTAGGTGACAGGAATGCCATGAAATAAAACACTGCACAGATATTCCAGGGTTTCTTTTTAAAGCATTATAAATTTATTTTTGTAATGTAGTTCTGGAATATACACATTGATAAAAAAAAAAGCTTGACATACAGGAATACAATCATCTGGGAGACAAGGTGATGTTATTTCAGATTGTCTGTTCGTGAGCGTATGTCCAACATAAGACATTAACTAATAAGTAAATATTAGACTAGGAAACTATAAAAGGAGAACTTATGCTAAAACACCTTTTAAAACGGACAGCAGAGAGTCTTATTTATGCATAGTTGAGATAGTCCTGTTAGGCAATCACGGTCTTGAAATAGAAACATGTTAGTTATTTGAAATGAATTTGAAATGGTAGCTTCTAATGTTCTGTTTGTGTGTTAACCTGTAATGAGTTTATATTTTAGTTAAGAAGTGTGAGAAAGACCCTAGTTGACTTTCTACCACATGTGGTGGACCTGTCCTAAAATTAGGAAATTTGGGGGCAAGATTAAAAAATGGCTGGATGAAATAACAGGGCAGAAGATAGTAAGAAAGCCGGAACTGTTTCTCCTGGGTATTCGGGAAGGGAAAATGCAGAAAAGTATACAATATATCATATTACACATACTAACGGCACGTAGAATTGTGATAGCACAAAATTGGAAACAACCAGACCCCTCCAGATCAAATCATAATTAAAAAAATATACAAATGTGCAGAGATGGACAGATTATCTATGGAAATGAAGGAGAGGGAGGACACTGAGTACTATTTAATATGAAATAAATGGTATTCCTGGCTGGAGAGTAAAACATAAAATTTAAGGGATGTTTTTGTTATGAGATCAAATTGTAAATGGAAATCAAGATAATTTAAATAAAGATGTAAGTTTAAGATAGAGATATTTAGAAGTAGAATTTGTGTAAAGAGGTTAAATAGGTTAGAATACCGATGCAGAAAAGTTGTTATTAGTATTGAAATTTTGATATGTTTGTTTTTGGTTCTTTATATCTTTTGTTTTGTGTGTGTGTGTTCTTTTTTCTTGCTTTTTTTTGTGTATTATGTTTCTTTTTGTACTGTGTATTTTAATCTTTGGAAATTTAATAAATATTATTTTAATTAAAAAAAGAGAGAAAGACCCTAGTTAAGTCTCCAGAGAAGTTTGGCAAAGTATTTCAAAAAGAATTAAGTTTGTATGGTAAGGGTAGTGGTTTAACTATAACAGAGACATAGAAACAGATTGGCTAATAAAGAACAGTTGCTCACATTTTGCTGAATTGGTTGGATTAGAGAAAAGAGCAAATGAACCTGGTTTAGTGCATGTTATATTTTCCACAGCATTGTGCCAAATTTTTTTTTCTCTGTAGTATGTCTTCCTCCCCACCCCTCCTTCCTGTTGCTGGTAAAAGCATTTACCATAAGGCAATTGGTCATTGTCTGGTAATAACTCCTTCCTTGTCAAATGTAATGTAATGTATTCCAGATGTTAATTTAACTAAGAAAACTTCCAGGTCACATTTTTGGGTTGATGCAAGAAATGCCATCTAATCACTTGTGTGCATTTACCCATAAGGCTAAATTACATTTTTCAACTAAAATTGCTAAAACTGGCTGGTTCATATATAATACTAAGCCACAATAATTGAGCTTCAGGGCAGTGTTGAGACCAAACATAAACCAGTTTTAACATGGCTTAGGGTTATAAGTAAACCTGGCTTTGAGTTGACTATCATTGCTACTGCACGGTTGACATAGGTTGGTTCTCCTATTAGGGGAACAGATTAAACCTGAAAGGTACATAGTAAAGCTGAGCATGTTTAGCATTATGAACAAAATTTTGATTTTTCAAGAGAACATTTTATTCTTGCAGATCATTTAGTATTTCGTTGAGCAGATGGATATATTTTTCTAAAAAAAATTAGAAGAACAAGGGGAAAAAAATCCATTGGGATATTCTTCCCTAGCGAGGTTAAAATACACTCCTTTCTAGGTGAAAGTTTATGAGCTCCTGTGGTCTTTCCTTTAGCATCCTGAACAGCTGCCAAGGAGAGTGATATTGTTTTATTTTATTTCACTGTCATTGTTTTGACATGTCTTTCCAATGTTACTGTGGCTCTAAATAACTTCCCCCTATTATTTCCTATGAATTATGTGCCATCAGATTTATTTATACAATTTATAGGCTGCCCAACTCCCAACAATGGTGAGTGGCTTACAATTAAAAATCAGGGGAAACCATTAAAAAAACCATAAGCAGCCTGAATCCAAATAAACCAGGTATGTCAAACTCAATTTCATTGAAGGCAGCATCAGGGTTGTGTTTGACCTCGGGGGGGGGGGCGGGGTGAGCGTGGCCAACTCTACATCACTCATGTCGGGGGCGGCTGTGGTGGCCCAAGTGCTCTGCCAGCGAAAACGGGCTTCCGAGCTCCGTTTTCAGCTACAATGGCGTCCTGCAACCCTCTGCCAGCGAAAACAGTTTTCTCTGCCAGAGGCACCACAGGCGAATCCTTTGCTGTTTCCAGGGCGGCCCTGCGGGCCAGATCTAAGGACCCCACTGGCCAGATCCAGCCCCTGGGCCTTGATTTTGACACCCCTGAAATAAACAAACAGATCCTGGTGACTTCATAAAGTAATCCTTCTCGAAGATTGATTCCTCAAGGAAGTTGAGTCCTCACATAATAGATGCAAAATATGGCCATTTGAGCATGGTCACTTGTGCCTCGGGTGAGAACTCTGGCTTGAGTTTCCTTTGTTTTCTTGACTATTGATAATAATATATTGTAGCATGAAAGGATAATATATATTTTTTTTACTTTCATAGAGTTATTACAGGAAAATCATTTCCTGCATGATTCTGATCTTTATAAGTAGCTTTAGAGTTTTATAGAGAAAGCTATATGTCTTAACCCCTGCATTAGAGGAGCCCTGGTGGTGCGGTAGTTAGACTGCTGTATTGTAGGCAAACTCTGCCCACAGCCTGGAGTTTGATCTTGTTGGAGCTCAAGATTAAATCAGCTTTCCATCCTTCTGAGGTTGGTAGAACAATGTCAGCATATTGGCCCCAGATTGTTGGGGGTAATATGCTGACATTGTAAACCGCCCACAGAGTGCTATAAAGCACTATAGGGCAGTATATAAGTATAAGTGCTATTGCTATATGTTACAGAATCTGAATATCTTTCCAAAGTATATAAATAATTTTTTTCCTTATCAATAATTTTGAGGAGAGCACTGTCAAACTGCAGCTAAGTTGTGCTATCACACAACACTGTACTACGGATGGATAATGATCTGAACTTTTATATACCCTGTTTCCCCCAAAATAAGACATCCCCTGATAATAAGCCCAATCGGGCTTTTGAGCGCATGGCAATAAGGCCAAGCGCTTATTTCAGGGTTCAAAAAAATATAAGACAGGGTCTTATTTTTGGGAAAACATGGTATTGATGAAGCAATGGTTCCTCATTGTTTCTTTGTTTTAGACTTAGACTAAGACTTAGAATAACTTTATTGTCACTTTGAATGTACACTAATTGGCATACATTAAAATGAAATTTCATTGTGTTCGTTTTTGGTCATTAAGCCCTTCTGATATTCACTATTGTAAATTATTTCTCTCATGAAGGTGCTGTAGTTTTTCTTCTATAGTTAACCCATCAGAATATCACAACATCATGTAATCCCAGCCCCTGTCTCACAAACCCAGTGTACCCTACAAAATCTTAAAGCAAATCACAACATTAAGATCTGCTTGATATGTTGGCAATATGGCAGTTCTATCTACTTGAATTCAGTTAATATAAATACTAGCCTGCTGCTAAGCTTGGATTTCCAATTGCAACTTTTGATGAAGTCCATCAGGAATGCTGGAGCTTTGTTTTGAGATGTCTCTTTTTGGTCAGTCCAATCATTTCGCACAAGTGGAAGAGAACATTTCAATACATATCTATATCTGAAGCTCAAATGCCTGTCAAGTGAACCTGTAGTCTGTTCTTGTTCCAGTATGTATCTCCAGACATATTTTTATGAATTGCTTTTGATGTTTCCTGATAGGAGGCTAGTTGCAAGACATCTCCGCCAATCTTGCTGAAGAACCTTGAGACAGAAACGCCCAAGCCAAAACCAAGAACAAAGGTACAGAAAAATAAGGGTGTTAATCTTTTCGGTGGCTGCTTTTCATTTTTCTTTTATCTGCACTATTTATTAAATTTAAATGCCACCCATCTCACTGTCCAAAGTGACTCTGAGTAGCTTACAATGTAATAAAATAGAAATATAAAAACAATTGTAAATGTTTTTAGAAGCATTTGGGCATATTGGAACAGATTCAGAGAAGGGCAATGAGAATAAACAGGAAACTAGAAGCTAACTTTTGGGAAGAAAAATTGAAGGAGCTGAGCAACTTTAGCCTTTCAAAGGTAGCTCTGGGAGAGGATATAATAGCACTCTTCAAACATCTGAAAGAAAATGTAATGATATGTGAGAATGGCCTTGAGAGGCAGGAGGAAGAGCAGCAAATAGGCAGAAGTCAATTAAGAGACAGCTAAGCCTGCAGAAGGTCAGAAGAGACCTTCCATAGTTTCGTGGATTGTAAAGATAAGAGGAGAAATAGGTTCTTTCATTCTTGGAGAATTCTGTTAATGTAAACCAACACAAAGATAGAGCTGGTGCTTCTTGGTGCCCAAGGTCATTCTTGTCTGTCTCACAAGACTGGCAGAATATGACTTAAAATGCTACATGCTCTCTACATGGGGCTCCCCTTGAAGAGCACCCGGAGGCTCCAACTGGTCCAGAATGCGGCCACGCGGGTAATTATGGGTGCGACACGGAGCATCCATGTAACACCTCTCCTGCACGAGCTGCACTGGCTCCCGGTGGTCTTCTGAGTGCGATTCAAGGTGCTGGTTACCACCTTTAAAGCGTTCCATGGCTTAGGACCTGGGTATGTACGAGATCGCCTTCTGCCACCGGTAGCCTCCCACCGGCCAATACGCTCCCACGGAGAGGGACTCCTCAGGGTGCCGTTGGCCAAACAATGCCGACTGGCGACACCCAGGGGAAGAGCCTTCTCTGTGGGGGCACTTGCCCTCTGGAATGACCTGCCCCTGGAGGTTCGTATGATCCCCGACCTTCGTACCTTTCGCCGTGCCCTTAAGACCCTGTTGTTCCAACAGGCCGGGCTGGCTTAGAATATGAATTTTAAATTGGGTTGTTTGTCAATTTTTAACTTTGTGGGCCAAATTTAATATATTCGTTTTAAATTGTTTTTAAATTTTGTGAGTTTATGTGTGTTTTAACATGGCTGTACACTGCCCTGGGTCCTTTGGGAGAAGGGTGGTATAGAAATTTAATAAACTAAACTAAACTAAACTAAACTAAACTAAATTAAACTAAACTAAACTAAACTAAACTAAACTAAACTAAATGCCAAGATTTGTAACACCAGTGTTCCCAGACGCAGGACACAAAATCATTGAATTTGCTTAAAAGCAGATTCCAGTTGCATGTTTAAACAAAAAACAAAAAACTAAAGGTCAGAGCAGTTCAAACTGTTGAAACAAACATTGGGGGAAATTTTGCTCTTCCCTTCATTGGGGGGAAGCCCAACAGCCACCTGTCGTGGATGCTTTAATTTTGGCTTCCTGCACTGAGCAGTAATTTGGATTAAACGGTCTAAATGCTTTCTTCTAACTCTAGGATCAGATGGCCTGTTTTGTGACTCCACTAATTCGCGCTTATCTTTTGTGGATTGCTTCAGAGTAAATACATTCTTGAACACCTGTTTCTTAAATAACCAGACAAATAATGAAAGTTTCTTAGAAATGATACCATCTGCAGTAGGTTTTGTTCTGTAAACACCTACTTGCCAAGCGTGTGCACATACACACAATGCTTTGATAAAATTCCAAGGCATTTTAGTCATGCCACACTTGCATCAGTGTTTGGGAACTGAATTTAATTTTGGCATCAATGCTTTATTGACCCACCCATCAAAAATATATAACCCAGTGTTCATTAGTATTGTGCACTCTACAGCTTTGCTGCACTCAGTGTCTATTCCTAGGGCCACTTGAATTAAAAGCTTTTGAAGGTATAAAGAACAGGCACGATAAAAAGGTAGAGATAGGCTTGCTAGATACAGATATCATCTTCTGGGATCCCAGTGAATTTGGAATGACCACAAATTAGATATTTGCCTTACAAGAGAGAAAGGAATGTCTTATAAAATTTGTCCTTTCAGTTGAGAATCAGTTTGAAGGACCAATAATAAACTAGCCTTGAAATGTTGGCGATGTCTTCTTTTCAAATGGAGAATTGAAAAGTTCAACTTTTGGGTGGAGCAGATTGTTTAAATCCTCAGTAGCACTTTGTTCATACATCTAATTTGTTAGAAATCTGATTTGCTCTGATTTTAGGTTGCAGGATTTGTCGTACCTATACTTGAACAGGCTTGCTAACTTTTTTTCCTATATTGGTTTTAAATGCTACCGTTAAGTAGGATTTTATGTGGCATCAGAGACAAATAATTCAATTATCTAGTTTTTAGAAACATTTGGATTTGAGTTGGATTTGTTAGATGTATAGCCTGACTTTTCTCCAGAAACGTAAAGCAGTTTTCCAAAGGATCTTCGTTTGTTTTATCATGGCGATGAGTTGGGGTAAAAGGCAATGATTGGGGCTTCTCATTGGGGATGTTGTAGAAAGAAAGCCATGTTAGTCTAAAGCAGCCAAAATTTATTTATTTATTTATTTATTTACTTACTTACTTACTTACTTACTTACTTACTTACTTACTTACTTACTTACTTACTTATTTATCTATCCATCCATCCATCCATCCATCCATCTATCCAAAGGCTAGCCTTTTGTGATTTTAATAAAACTTGTTAGTTGGAAAAGGTGCTCCCAGATTCCTTGAAGTTGTTTTTGAATGACCAAAAGTCTTCTGTGAGCTTCCGTGATTAAAAATAAACTTGAAACTCACCTCCTCAGTTTCAGTCCACTACATGAATCGCCATACTACAAATTGTTGATTGCTGATTATTCCTGATTAGTAATGTGAATCCAATCAGCTGTGGCTTAATTAGTAAACACCAGGTTAGCAAATCCTCAAAGTGCAATTTATGAATCCAATTTAATTTTCTTATGTTTCATGGGCTGTTTTGAATGCTGGGGGGCGGGGGGGGGGGAGAGGGGAAGTAATGACATAAATATTGCATCTCCAATGGTATAATTCAGAAATTATAATAGAATATGTGTCCCAATATGTGCCTTCTTTACTTTTTCTGTCAGTTTGAGCAAGCTGGTTTACCATTGTATATTGTAAAAGCAACCAACCCCACTTAATATCTCTGGGATTACATTTCTCAGGACCTTCCAACCTTTAGATAGATTGCAGGGGGAAATAGCCATTGGAGTCTTAATACATAGAGCTAGAAGTTTGCACTTGCTTGTGGTTTGAGGCAATTTGAACTTGACTTGTGCAAATTTGTGGTTATTGTTTTACATGGAAACATGCTCATAAATCAAAGCTTTATTGCTACATCTTTTAGCCTGCATGCACAAAAGCCAACTTTTGAGTAATTTCCCAGCCTAACTCTCCCCCTTTCTCCTCCCACCAGCCTTTCTTGGAACAGAGAAATCAAATTATAGTGGCAAAGGAAGCGGACTTTATTTCATGTGTTACCAGCCTACACCTTTTTCCCCCCCCAAGTTTAAAATTGTAAGCTTGTTCACTTGTATTAATATAACAGACATGATAGTTGGCAAAACAGATACATACAGAGTAAAAGATAAATGTCATATTAACTATACAGCTAGTAGTAGAAATCTTCGGCTTTGATTGCCCAATCTTTAAAAAGCTTTTTCTCTGTCTTTGGATACATAATATAATGCAAAGAGTTTGGAGCAGAAAATAGAGTTGTATCTTCAGTTTTTTTTTCCACATGTGCTTTGTAGCTACGACTTAAGAGAGGGAGATGGTTGGATCAAATCTAGAGGAGCTAAAATTTGCCAATCCAAAATTGGTTTGCAGGTCTGTTTTGTTTTGTTTGGAAAGATGAAATTGAATTTGTACTTCAGAGAGAGAGAGAGAGAGAGAGAGACCTGTAAGCCCTTCATTTGATTTGTGGCCTGTTGTATGTTGTATGCATGAATGTTTATTTCGGTTCTTTGCCAGCTAAGAAAAGGCAGTTTTTCTGCAACAACCTTCTCTATTAACCTTTCTTTTGTTTATTAAAGCAAAAGTTCATTTCCTTAGTTAGCAAGGGGTGTCTCTGCCTTCTCCTGAGTGCTTGACAGATGACAGTTGTTCTTTCAATTGGTACGCTAGAGGAAGAAAAAAAACATTTGTCCAACAAGAGTAGGAAAGGTGGCCTATATTTGCCCTGCAATTTCTGTTCTCATAGTCAAGGCAGGGCCACAAATTGTACAGGCCCTCAAATCTGAGCCGAGTTCATCATTTCTCCAGATGTTGGAATTGGCCAGCATTTTTCTTTCCTTTGATGTGTTCCTGTTCCCCTGCTTTGTCTTAGGTCAGAGCGCACAATGTTTTTTTTGGGGGGGGCAAGGGCCATCCTAGATTTTGAGAGCCATGTTGGGCCTTTCATAGCAAATGGAGGAATGAAACCATGTTAGAAAATGTTAAAAATGGGAAGGAGGAGGAAAATTAAAATAATTAACAACTATACTTTTTTTTTTTTAATTTGATTTATATGCCACCCTTCTCCGGAGACTCAGGGCGGCTTACAATGCGCTAAGCAATAAGCAATAGCCTTCATTCTTTTGTATATTTATACAAAGTCAGCTTATTGCCCCCACAAACCGGGTCCTCAATTTACCTACCTTAGAAAGGATGGAAGGCTGAGTCAACCTTGAGCCTTGGCGAGATTTGAACCTGCAGTAATTGCAGGCAGCTGGTCTTAATAACCAGCTTAATAACAGAGTGCCTTAGACCACTGTACTGCCAAGGCTCTTTTTGCATCCTTTTAGAGGGTGGTTGAAGCAGTTGGAGGTTTATCAGTGTCCTCAGGTTCACCTGAGTCATGCAAATGGTTCCTGTAGTCTGCAATATTTTCCTCTGGAAATACATTCATATTCCCACATTCATATTCCCACACGAGCTGAAGAAGCTT